TGGCCAGTAAAAATCAGAAATGGTTAGCAACGATTGAACATAGAAACATTTTCAGTGATCTCCCCACCCCAATCTTGAATTATTTCATTGTGATTTTCTATGCAACTCTTTTATATGGAGCAGAAGAAAAAAAAATCCTCAGTTTTTCTCTTCAAATGGTTGACTGGAAATATTTGGAAGGGTATTTAAAGCCAGAATTCCTAGAGAGTGGGTTTATATGCATGAATGGAGAATGAGAAATTAAGTAAGTAAGTAAGTCCCGTGTTTTCCTGAAAATAAGACAGGGTCTTATTTTCTTTTGACCCCCCCAAATAATTTTTGGGGAGGTCTTCTTATTTTTGAGGTGCAGGAGGAGGCAAGCGTGGTCACCTCATGACTGCTGCTGTGTTGCAATATTTACAGGGAGGGCTTATTTTTTGGGGGGGGGCTTATTTTAGCGCATGCGCTCAAAAGCCCAATTGGTTTTATTAGCCAGGGAGGTTTTCTTTTCAGGGAAACAGGCTAAGTAAGTAAATAAACAAATAAACAAATTTGCTTGCTTGGTTGGTGGCACAGTCAACCAGATGTTTAGGCTGCATTTGATATCTTTATCTACCTATTTAGGCCTTCCAAAGGGATAGGCAGATAGTTATTCATGGTTTTGGAGGTACTGCTACATTCTATAAATTGTTCCAAGTAAATGTCTATGGACATTCTCAGTCATCCTGGTCATGGTTGTCCCAAAGGTGTTTTTTCAAGAGACAATTAGACTTTCTGGTTTTTCTTTGAAGACTTTCTTCAAATTTCTTGGATGAGAAGCAGAACGTCTTCAAAGAAAAACCAGAAAGTCCAGTTGCCTCTTGGAAAAGCACTTTTGTGTTCCAAGTAAAGCTGCTTTTGCAATTGACTGATGATGATTTGGTCAGTGCTGATGATATTCAAGTGGTGCTCCAGATGTTTTGGGATTGTATCCAAGGTACCTATTATTGTTGGCTCTTTCCTCTGCCACAATCCTCCTACTTCTATTTGCAGGTCTTTGTATTTTTTGATTTTATTATGTGTGGGTAATCTACGGTTAGATTTGCTATAACCAAAGAACTAAGAATTATTAAGGCAGCATCATTAAAGATTAGAGACTGTAACATTGCCAGAACTACTTTGGGTTGTTAGATAGATATTTTTCAAATTCCCAGAAAGAGAGTGACTGGCCCAACGTTGCCCAAATGGTTTCAGTGCTGAAAGAGAGAACCTCGATCTCTCCTCATTCCTAGTCCAGCACCCTAACCACTCAACCACATTGCCTCTTTTCATTACATGTAAATGTAAACAAGCAATTTTTCAAATGCATGTGTGCATTTCTGGCATGTATTACCAGAATTTAAATCATGATAAATATTTTTATTGGAATAAGGACAAGGATATTTACGGAATCAGAGGACTTATGTGAACAGACTAGGTCAGGGGTGTCAAACTCAATTTCATTGAGGGCCACATCAAGGGTGTGTTTGGCCTTGGGGGCAGGGTGAGTGTGGCCAGGATGGCCGAGGACCCAGATTGTTGGGGGCAACATGCTGACATTGTAAACTGCTTAGAGAGGCTAAAGTACTACAAAGTAGCATATATACTGTGTGTGTGTGTGTGTGTGTGTGTGTACACACACACACACACACACACACACACACACACACACAAACCACACAAGTGTGATCGGAGCTGCCGTCTTTCTATAAATCTTGGTGGGGTGTGTCTGGAGTGCTGGATGTTGGCTAAGAAACCCCAAAGACAAAATCCAGCTAGAAAACCAAGGGGCAACGGAATACCATGCAAAATCTGCCCTGCAACATATATAGGACAAATGAATAGGAGAATACATGCACGCATCGCAGAACACAAGAACGCAGTAAGAAAAAAGAAAAAAAAACATCCTCCCTTTTCCAGCACCTTAAAGCTACATGGCGTGAAATTAATTTTGAAGGAACCAGGTTAATCTCCAAAACTGAACACTTCAACAAGAGAATAATTATGGAAGCTATCGAAATAGAGAAACACCCCCACAACATGAATAAACGTGATGATACCTCTCGCCTACCAGACATCTGGAAACCAGCCCTAGTTAACAAACAAGCCCCACCCACCACCCAGGCTGTTACAACACGAAACAACAATAGACACACAGCCAGCACCAATCAGCACCAATCTACCAATCATGATGCAACACCCAACCAATCATTCCACTTACTGAAACAAAGCCAGCCCTCCACACACACCCCACCAAGATTTATAAAAAGACGGCAGCTCTGATCACACTTTAAGCCCAAACCCCAGCCTGAAGATGGTGAGTGAGACCTCGCTGAAACATTGCCAAGACTATATATATATATATATGTGTGTGTGTGTGTGTGTGTGTGTGTGTGTGTTTGTGTGTGTTTGTGTGTGTTTGTGTACATGTGTGTGTGTACATGTGTGTGTGTATGTGTGTATGTATGTATTGTGTATATATACACAAACTAAATGTAATCCGTTCTAATCTTGATTGCAGGAAAAACGATTTCAGCAATAGAGTAGTAAATATGTGGAACACTCTACCTGATCCTATTGTTAGTTCCTCTAACCCCCATACTTTCACCTTAAGCTGTCTACTGTGGACCTTACACATTTCTTAAGAGGTCCCTAAGGGGGCATGCATAAGTGCACCAACGTGCCTACCATCCCTGTCCTACTGTCCCATTTATATGGACTCTTTTTATGTGTTTATGGCTATGTTTTGCTTATTTATATCCATTTATTTGTGCCATTTTTTCATGTTTTTCATACTTGTTTCCTTGTACTTGTTGACAAATAAATAAAATAAATAAACAAATAAATAAATAAATATAAATCTATTGCTATTGCTCTTTCTGTGGTTTGCCTAAATAAGAATTACTTTACAATCTGGACTTTTCAAGAGGACTTAGTGTAGTCTGATAGTTTTAAACTTTGGAAATGTATGGGAGAGAACCAAATATGCCATTATGACAAGCAGTGGCTCCCCAGATGTCATTTCTTTTGTTTCAGGAGTTATTTTCACTGTAAAATTGTCATATGGAAAGGACAAAACCTTCCTGTCTACTTGAATATTGGGCTGAATTTTCATTCTGCTTCAACTTCACGTCTATTAGTGAAAGGAGGGAAATGAAAGTGGAATGAGGTTTCTATATGGATATTGAATACGTTGCTCTTTCTATAAGTGCAATAATAATAATAATGAAAGAAAGTGGAAGGAGGTTTAAGAGAAAGGAAGCAAAATTCCACCTGAAATTTAGCTGCCAGAAAAATGGAGATCTCATCTTTTGATATTTTTTTTCCTTAGAAGGCACTCTCCAGAAAGCATAAGTGTACAACAAGGCATAAATTCCCCCTTTCACTTTGTATATTCTTTTACCTACTAATCATTGCCTAATCATGGTGTAGCAGGTGAATATGTGGTTCTGCATGATCAGATATTTAGAACCCATCCAAAAGATCCTGATTAATATTTTAAGGAAAAGTCTTAACCTCAGTGGTGGGAACCTACTGGTTTAACAACCGGTTCGGTGACCACGCGCTTTGTGTGATCTGGATGCACAGTTTTGAGAAAACTTGCCTTCTACATTACTGCTGGGGAGGAAAACAGCTGAGGCGCGGCAGAGTGGAGTCTGCCGTGTGACTCAGCTGAGAAGATATAGGTCAGTAAAGTACAGGGGCAGGTGGGCGGGCCAACTTGATCGTGGGAGTGAACCGGTTCATCCCCCACTAATCGTCGGAGCTACTGGTTCAGGCGAACCGGTCCGAACCGGTAGAATCCCACTCCTGCTTCTTGGTAAGAATTAATCAAAGATATTTGATCCTGGATGGATCAGGGACAATGATTTTGGTGACTTATGGTAGACCAGAAGCCATTGAGAACTTTCTGTGAGTGAATATCTATACAGATAGATTCTTAACAGAGGGTTTTGAAGTTTTATTTAGCTGTTGGTTTTACCTGTTAACTATGTTTATATATAACAGAAATATATCAGGCTTAGTGGGTTGGATAAGCACAGTTGTAGAAATTCATAAATTGTGTGCCTGCTTTGCAAGTGGGGTGGTGGGGAGAGAAACTATTATCATTATCTAGACGGGACAATTCATATATATGTCCTTTTTGTTTTTTTCCCTTCTTCTGTACTATTTTGTGCAATCTTGTCTAATTTTGTTTTATTTTGTTTTGGTATTTTTCCCTTTTTTGAAGTTTGTATTTTAATGTTTTGAATAAATTTTTTAAAAAAGATAAGTTTTATGAAGAAAGCCGTTACAGTACCTATGAAAAACAAACAAACAAAAACCCAAAACCTAAAAGAAATAAATTACGTTTGCTCCCTGTCCTGAAATTCCTTATCAGATGATATTTATGCCTATGAATCTGGCAAGAAAAAAAAATATTCCCATGAATACCAGAACTTTGATTTAATACGGAATTCTAAGGCTTCCTTTCTTTTTCTTTTTTGTAATATTAGCAAGGGATTGCATTTCCTTTGTCTACTGAGTTTGCTTATTTATTTAAATATTCCAAGTAAACCAGTGAACATTTTAAAACTTTCAGTAGCAACAGACATCAGAAAACTGGTTCCTTTCTACACATCAAGGATCCACTGGCAACCTACCATGGCCTTTGTGGTACGTAAACATTGTCATAATTGAAATACTTTTTTAAAAGGAAGTATCAAATTGATTTAATTTGTGGTGTCATGAAATGGATCTCCGAACTTTATAAATGTGCCTTAACCCATACATATGGAGAAGACAGAATCCTGTACGCCAGTGAAACACAACTGGAAGTAAAGAATAAGAAATAGTGGTATGATATTGTAGAGCAGGAGTCGGCAACCTTAAACACTCAAAGAGCCACTAGGTCCTAACCGGAAGGCCCCTATCCAATTCTGGAGCCAACCAGAAGTCTTGTTCTCCCTCCGTAGAATCTCCTCCTAGTGTGGCATCCTTTTTCCTCTGCCTGCCCTAACCGAAAGCCCTATCAATTTTGGAGCCGACTGGAAAACCCGCCCCTTGAATGAGAGTCTCCTCCTGGCGCGCCATGCTTCCCCGCCCCAACTGGGCGCTCCTTCAAAATTGCGGGGCCGACTGGTGACAGAGAGCCACGGCAGAGGGATGAAAGAGCCACATGCAGCTCCAGAGCCATGGGTTGCCGACCCCTGCTGTGGAGGCACAGCAGATAATAACAATGACGATGATGCAGGTCATGAGTTCGACCCAAACCTCCAGCTGTACATGGTTATGGTGCGAATGTTACACCGATGTTCAGTCTAGGGTGTAAGTCGTGGTTTTGGCGATGAACAGGATCCTTGACTGTCAAAGCTGGTTGCTCGGCCTGGCAACTGGAACAGATGATACATTTTAAGAAAATAAGAAAAGACCTACTGAATCAAGGTCCACGAAGTCCCGCATCCTGCTTCTCACTTTGGCCAATTTGATGCCTCCAGGAAGCCTACAAGCAGAATACCAAGGCAATGACCCTCACCCGCTCATTGCTCCACTCCCACTGCACCCTGAATAAACTGGATCTACATATAAGCATCAGGAATGTTAGGCATCAATCATTTCAACTCTCTGCCTGGATAGTATATCCAGAAAGCCATTTAATGTGTAGAAAGAGATTGGGTACCTGTATTGGTGCAGAAAGAATTAAAAACAGTTCTGTCCCACTGCTGTGATT